TTGTAATTATCTTGTTTAGAAATAAAAGTTTGATGCATATGTGTAGTCGTCAGTATTTGAAAATATTTTTGTATGACACTTCCATATCTTTATTTATGGGGTTCACTAAGGCTTTGCAGAGCTTCAATTTATTTAGTGGGTATCATTTTTTTTAGCATATTGGTAGGATTTTTTTCTTTGATTTTGACAAGCTTTAAAACATTATATTCAAGAAGGCCGCATCTGAAGTTATACTTGAGTTATATATGCTTTGTCTATGAGTGAAAGATTGCATTCTTTGTCAAGTGTGATAATGTGATTATCATGGAATAGAGTTCATAGAATAAAGAAAAATGTTTTTGTTACCAGTTAATTCTTTTTAGAAAGCTTGCTAGCCAAATCATTTCTTTATTGGCTTTGGTAGTAGCCATGTATTTAGCTCTTCTTGTTAAATATGCAGCACTTTTTAGTGCTATTTAAGTAGTAGATGTACCCTATAGTATTTTGTGTTTTTAGGCCGCCTCCTACATCTACATCTACATCTAGATATCCCTACAATTTCAATTTAGCCCTTTTAAATTTTAATGAGTTATTAATTGTTGTACATTTTGGACAGTAAGATTCTTTATAGCCTCTGTATTTATTTATTTTTTTTTCTGGATTTGACATATTTTGACTAATAGCTCTCGTTGCATTTTCCATATTTTGTGCAAACCATTAAAATATATTAAAGGCCAACTACAAGTTGTTTTTTGAGAGTTTGATGTGACTTGCAGTGGCGTGCTTACCATTTTTTTTTCTTTCATATTAAACAATCCTATACCTTTTTAATATATTGAGGTTATAGCTAGTACAAAATATCCGTTGTTTTATTTTGATCCATTCTTATACCAAGAATCTTCTTGCCTTCCCCAAGGTCCTTTCTATCATTTCTTTTTGATAATTATCTTTTAAGCTCATTAATTTTCTTGCTCTTAGCCCCTAAAATCAATTGTTTCTATCTTTTTTTTTAGCTCACTATCTATTAAGCTCATTAATTTTTTTTGTCTAAAGGCCTTCGTTTAAGTAGAACTAAACTGAATACATGGAATGTAATTTTAGTAGTAATAGCTCTAGTGACAGAAGTGTGACTTTGGATGATCAAATTATTAAAAGGTGTGAACGATTTAGATATCTTGGGTCCGTTGTCCAAAGCGATGGTGATATAGATGGGGATGTTAATAGTAGAATTCAAGTTGGTTGGTTGAAGTGGAGCATTGCTTCAGGCCTTTTGTGTGATAGAAAAGTACCGCTAAGACTAAAAGGAAAATTTATAAGACGGTGGTGAGACCTGCAATGCTCTATGGCGCTGAATGCTAGCCTTTAAAAGAGAAGCATAATAATAAGTTAAGTGTTGCCGAGATGAGAATGATTAGGTGGATGAGTGGCTTTACACTTAGAGACAAAATGCGGAATGAATATATTCGTGATAGGGTTGGTGTAGCTCCTGTGACAGACAAAATTAGAGAAAGTCGTCTTAGATGGTTTGGTCACATTAAACGTCGACCATCTGATGATCCGATTAGGAGAGTAGATGTTTTAGATTCGACTTGTGTTAAGAAAGACAGAGGTAGACCTAGGAAGACTTGGGCTTATTGTATTAAAAATGATCTTAATTTACTAGAACTAAATGAAAATATGACACTAAATAGGACGCAATGGAGAAAAAGGATTCATGTAGCCGACCCCACATAGTGGGATTAAGGCTTTGTTGTTGTTGTTGTTGTTGTTGTTGTTTAGCCCCTAAAATCAGAATGCATTAACAATTACATGTAGAAATAGGATGATATAATCTTTCTAGTGTCTTTTACATAGCAAAAATGATTAACTTTCATTTTTGAAAGGTATTCTTATGCATGAATTTATCAAAATTTTGATATTGTTGGTGTTGGATTTTCTTCAAACCATGTCGGCTTGTTGAGCTTATAGATTTTTTTTTCTTGTATGACAAAGGCGTCATTCGGGATCATTTAGATTATCTTGGAGAAAATTTTTCTTAATATCCGTCTACTCCAGGTGTAAGTTTCTGTAGCTACTATACTCTAAGTTGATGTAGTTGTTAGTTTAACAAAAAGAGAGAATTTTAATGAAATCAATGCCTTCGTTCTGTTAGAGTCCTCTCACTATCAGCCTTTACTTGTAACTTTTGTTGCCTTTTTGCTCTTCTTTGATTTTAGAAATTGATTTATTTTTTTAATTTTTTTTAAGGTAGCTTAGTCAAGCAACAAATAATTTTAAGAAAGAGAATACCGAGTAATAAGATTTCAAATTTTTTAATGACGTCCTGTCTTCTGACACATGAGTGCTTAGTTGAGGCTGATTAATTATTTTTGTTATCTCCAGTCTTTTACTAAAAATAACTCACCCTTCTAATTCAAGTTTGTATTATGAATCTTCTTTTTTAATTTTTATCGGCATGTATTTGTACATTTTATTTCTTTGGAAGTTACATTCATTTCTCCGATTATTTCTCTTAGTTTTATTATCTCAAAATTTATGGTGAAAGTGCTTAATATGATGACTGATAAAAGCAACACTTTTTTGAGTTCGGGTTAGCTTTCTTTTACTTTATCATCAATTTGTTTCTAAGAAAGGCAAAAAAAAATTTTCAGATGTGACGAGCAAACTTTTTTTCTCTCCCCAATCTAGGCTTCTTTTGGAAGCCAACAATTGAGAGCTACAGATGGGCCTCGATTGATGTGCATGTGGGTGTCATTATTGCATGTAGCATCATACTCTTAGCCTTTTCATTTAAAGCAATTCAATTCTGTTGAGTTCTTAGAACTGTTCGCTCCATGCATGTCTCATTATTTCTGTAATAGATTTGTAGTTCTTTGCTATTGTACTTTCCACCATTATTGGATTGTAGGCATTTAATTTTTGCACCAGTCTCATTTTTAATTAAGCTTTTACACCTTGGAGAGTTATTAAATATATCATATTTATTTTTGATAGAATAAACCCATTTTTTGGTACAATCGTCTATGAATATGGCAGTACATCAAGCTGCCTGGAAATAAGACTAGGGATAACCCTAAAACATCCGTGTGAAATAATTCAAGCTTATTACTTTTAAATTCTCTTCTAGTTTTAAGAAAGTGATCCTTTTTTGCTTTCCTAAAATATAGTCTTCACAATAACTAAATGGAAAATTTACTTACATACTACACAAATCTTGCGTATGTACATATCAGCACATAAAATTTGATTTTCAAACACAACACTTTAAAATTATAATCACGTCAAGACCTATTTATAAGAAGGTGTATTTTCATTTTAAAATGTTAATAACTGGGATTACTTTTGATTTGATGTTAAAAATTTGATTGTTATATTCAAATATTGAAGTTTAGATGTTAGATCTGTAAATAGATAAGAATTGTGTGCATGCCTAAATTTATAAATTTATAAATTTATCTTGAGAATGAATTATTTTTAGGTATTTCTCACTATGTGATCTTATCTTTGATATCAAATATTGGTCTCTATAGTTGAATATGTTGCTCTTATTATTTAGATATTTTTAGTAGTGTGGAGTATACTAGTCTTAATTTTCTTAGGCAATTATCATGACTCCTTTGATTTCCTTTCATATGTCAGCATTAAATATGGCGTTACACCTTTCTGCTATAAGTTGTCTTATGGAAATCAAATTTCTTCACAAGCTAGTAATGTGTCTGATCTTAACTTTCTTGTGACTCCAGTTATAGTTTGGAGTATAACATTATTGATGCACAAAATATCTAAGGGCTCATTATCAAAAAGGAATATTGTCATAGTTTATTGTAGAGTAATTTATCATTAATTCTTTATGAGAAGAAAAATTGATTGTTTTTTATGGGAGGAAAATTTGAATGTTTTTTTTTTTTTTTTTTGAGAAGAAAATTTGATTGATGCATGTGAGTCTAATATTTCATTGTACTATATACATGAAGGATTAATGCATCTTGAATTTCATTTTATACCTGTGTTCCCAGTTTTTCTTGTTGTTTTTGCCTTTTTTCATGATTTTTTTTGTGTCTCCATTTTTCATCATACACTCAAACTTTTCAGAGCCAACGTTTGCTTGGACAACCTTGAGATTTGCTTCTATGATAATATACATGTGAGCTCTTATTTTGTGATTTAGGTCTGTCTCTGTTTTGATAGTTGTTTTTATCTTGAAACTTGATCTTGTTATCACTATTTAATATAGAAGAAGGCATTTTACCCATCTTGTGCTATTGGACATCTTTACTAAGAATGAGATATCCGCATCATTTAATTTGAATTTGTTTAATTCATAAGATATATCGATAAAAACTACTGATTACTGTTGTTACAACCTTCCAACTTTCAAAAACACTGAAAGTAGATTCCACGTATTAATTTCACCACAAAGTTGATGTTAACAAAGCTAAACTAACTTTTGATCGATTTGAATATGTTGACATGATTAGAAACAGAGGCTCTTTTAGACCTCCTGAGATTAAATAAATTGTGCATGCTTTATTAAAAACATAAGGCCTCTTATACATTCCTGATAATGTCTTTTCTTTCCTTATGAATTTCTTCTTTAAATGGCTAAAAATTTAAGCCTTTCTTTTCTTTCCCCCTCTGATTCCTATTTGCTTTTGTTTGTGGGGGATGCTCCAATGCATTAGAAATATTTCATTTTATAGTGCTTGGAGGTGGTAGGTAGTTAACTTGAATTTATTAAGAAGATGGTAGTAGTTATCACAACGCAGATGCTAGAAAATAAAGTTATAGAAGTTAGGTAGAGATTGTCACGTAGAGAGCTTGTATGAATCAGGTAAAGAAAATTTTATCTGCGTGTTAATAACTTTTAACTGCACAGTTGTTGTAACTTGCACAGAAGTTCATTGGTAGTATGTTATTTTTCATTACCTCAACACTTTCTATTGCATTCGAAATTTACTATGATCCAAGTTGTGCAAGTATATTATTAGTAGTGTTTTACCTGGTTCTATGACACATTACAGGTTTCTCTTTTCCTGTGGCTGATTGGCTGTGACCATATAGGTGGTAAGAAGGTTTTTGAGTGCGAAATAGTTGCAAGTAAAAGCCAGTTGATCAGCATGGGGCAGAGAAGCACACTTTGCACGCATCAGATGTTTGATTTGGATTCAGAACCAAGTGATGGTTGCCTTTATCGCAATCATGACTTTACTAGAAATGTTTCTGATTATACTGGCAGAAATAGTCATCCTGCTCTTTCAGGCCCAGGGAATAGAGTGGATCTTTTTCATCAATTTAGGGACTATCATGAGAGGATAATGTTGCATGGGAATCAATATAACATTCCGAACTACCATGTTTTCCAAAATCTTGGTTTAGGTGCTGTTGCACCATTAAACATTTATAACCCTAATATGCTTCTTGCACCCGACGACAGAAATTTTCCCATTCATCAGAGCAATGTCATGGCTGAACGTTTCTCTTCCTCTATTGGCCAAACAAATAATGGAATTAGCATGGATGAATTTGGTAGCCATAATCATCTTGTTGATGGCGATAGAAGGCCTTGTAAAGGAAAGGATACCGAAATGACTCCAGGAATCCATAACAATTTTAATGGATCAGCAAGCTCAAGCTCAACCATTACTCATCACTCCAATGGCGGAGTACCACTGTGGGGGCAATCTTTTGAATCTATGCCTGGTATTCTAGACACAACTAATCTTACTCCCTTGGAATATGGAAGGAATACTTCTCTGCCTGGTGAGGAATCTCACAGGACCATAAGGATCAGATCACTTACAGGTAGCCTTCAGCCAGAGTCTGCAGTCCTACCTCATCAAAATTGCTTATTTCCGGGGACTTATATGATCCAGCCCTTCCAGCCTACTAATAATGCTTGGGTTACACAGTTTGGAAATGGGAATAACATTGTTAATGGAGGCGCCAATTGGAATCATTACAATAATCTTAGATACTTGCAAGGTAAGAGCTTTTTTAATATATACTGCTATAGCAAACATGCATTGCTCTATTTTTTTTCTTGGATAAGCTTTTCTAAAATATATCAATCTTATCTATCCCCTACTATTGTTTTAAATTGTGTATACCACTTAGTTAAATGTATATTCCACTTTATCAAATCATTATTGGTTTTTTTTTTTTTCACTATTTAATGCTCTAATTGAATCTTTTATCTCGAGATGTTATTTTTATTCCCTTGTTTGTCGATGGTGAATATCTGATAGTATCAAATGAAACTCAGGGAGAAGCGTAAATTCAGGACGTTTGCACCAGTCAAACACAAACATGCAGGCATATACTGGAAATTCATCGGCCACAAATTCAGCTTTGCTGCTTCATCCATCTTCAATGCCTAATTTTCATCCAGCTTCTCATAATGTACAAGTTCATGGTTATGGCCATCATGCACACATACCAGCTCCTTACCAACATCCAGTCAACAGCTTGGGATCCATCAACTCAAATCTTTCGATTGATGGTATGGATGTGGGATCCACATTCCCCAACTTCTCTACTGGTGCTGATCAGATTTATAGGCCCCAGCAGCTATCACAACCAGCTCAACAAATTTTCAGTAGGAGTTTAAGGCTCCTTTCATCTGAGGTGAATCATGCTTTTTAATTTTTGTTCTCTTTCCGTTTTCCCTCAAATTGTTTAACTTGACAAAATACTATGATTGCTTCAATCAGAAAAATTGGAAAGCATTTTTTTCTGAGTGTCATAAATAGATTCCACTTATTAATGCATTCGAGTAACTTTCGGGCGGCATGCGCGTGTGCGCACACATGCGCACACACACACACACTCATGCACACCTGTCCATGCCATATAATATGAGATAGACTTCTATATTAAAAAGGGGAATTCATTCTTTTAAATTTTTTATTCAGACTTGGGCTTCTACATCTGGCAAGTGCTAGATGAAAAACACATTTTTATACCATATAGAAACAGCTTTTATATGGTGTGCTTTTAGATTTGGAGATGGAATGTGATGGTTTGAGCATGTATCGTTGAGGGTAATGTAATATAGTTTTGTTTGAACACTCAATTTGGATTTATACGTTTAGGATCTATTTTCTGCTAATGTGCTTTATTGAAAATATTAGGTGCCAGAAAGGATTTGCATATAGTTTATATTCATCTTAAAAAGAAATATATTTAGTATCATGAGAAATGATTTGTTGTGCTTAAAAAAGGAATTCATGTGGATGTCAAAGTTATGAACATGCTAAAGGTTATATATATATATATATATATATATATATATATATTTCTAGAAAGTAGTTTTGGAGTAATTTAAAAGTTTTCAATTAAATTAGTGTTCTAGGATCAACAATAATTATCAAGTATAGTCTTTTTTGTTTTTTGGGTGAGACGAGGCACAAGCCTCAAGCTGTTGAGGTATAAGCTTCTGAAATTCATCAAAATTATGAGAAATATGAAATACTAATATTCTAATGTCAAAGTAAGGTTTTAGAAGTTCGTACTATGATCGTAAAAGTTATACAAAACTTAAAGCACTATATAATGAGTCTCTCGAATTACCAATTTAACATAAATAAATAGTTTAAGTTTATAATTTAGGAATTCAACAGTCTTTCCTGCTGTCATTATTTAGAGCAGAGCATATTCATTAAAATCATCATTATATTTTATTAATTTTTTTACTTGTTCATCATTTTTATCACATACTCACAATTTTCAAATTTTCATTGAACTTTGTCTAGAATGTCTAATCATTTGAAAAAAACCTTAATTGAAAACATAATTCAAAATGAGGAATAAAAAAATTCAAATGATCAACTAGTTAATAATGCAAGAATCGAGAGAACATAAAAAAACTTGGGAATGGATGCAAGGAACGACGATGGGGCTACAGTGGCAGTGTAGCAACAACATCAATGATGATATAACAGCTCGATTGGGTTGGCACTTGTATGCACATTACTGTGATGTGCACTCATTTATCTCTGTGGCCTTTGGGCTCTCAGTTTATTATTATTATTATTATTATTATTATTATTATTATTATTATTATTAAGAACTAGTTGTAGGTTTGAAAAAAAACCTTTGGGCTATAAATTAATTTGAGGTTTTTGATCTTATAAAATAAAATTAAAAGAAACATCACTAATTGAGGCTCTTATCACCTTTAAATAAAGTTGAGGCATGCCTCCCTCAACTAAGGCATATATGTCTCATAGCCTTTTTTTTGTGTGCCTTGACCGTAGTCGGATATTGAATTGTACAATATAAAAATTTAAGCCATGTTTATTTATGAGTTGGAAGTTGGTTGAATAGTAAATTGGAAGTGATAGCATTGTTAATGCTATTTTTTTTATGATATAGTTTTAAACTATGACACCACTGATAATGGATAAATGTTTATAAGATGAGGAGCTTAAGAATTACTGAGCAAAGTTTGAGTATGCAATTTTTTTGTGTGTGAATTTAATATATTTAAGTTAATTCCTCTAAAAGGTCAAATGATAAGTTAAGTATTTTTTGTTTATTATATAGAAAAATATGGATGGAGATAGAACTTCTAAAGTTAATTTAGAGTGGTTAAAATGGAGATGTACATCAATTGCCTATGCATTACTTGGGATATTGTGGAGACTTAAAACTGAATTTTATATTATCCATAATTAGATTGAGAATTTTATATGAAGTTGAATGTAGGCTGACAAAAAGTTTAATATCTAAATTAAATTCAGTATGTGAATGTTAATATGGGGCTATGTTAAAATTAGGGCTAATATATTGAGAAAAGATTATGTTGGCGAATTTGCAGGGGATACTATCCATTCAAATATTTGTTGTTACATAGGTTTTATGGCCATGTAGAATTGTGGATAAAATATGAACCTTAGGTGTTTGTAAAATTAATATGAATGGACATGAGAAAACTGATAGACAAGGTAATATGGATAGAATATTTGCAGAAAAAATTTCAAAAAAATTATTTACTATTTTAAGCAACATTCAACAAGAAATAATTTAGAATGTGGATTACAATAGATAAGGATGATCCTAACATGATAATGTTGGCAATAATGATAGCGTTTGTAGAATCTTTTTGCAATATGAGAAGTAGGAATACATTTGAACTTCACCATTTAATGATGCTATAGCTTCTAAAGTGTTTCCTTCTCCTTACTTGTAAATGGAAACAAGTTAGGATCTGTTTCCTATGTTCAATCTTCATCAAAATTTATGTGATACTACTTGCTATGAAGCTTCAACAATTTTCCGTATTTCCTTAGTTGGTGCAACAAGAATGTTGATGCTTTCTGATGTATCTGTTGAGTGGCTCTGGTTGATTTAAACTTTGGAAGATTTACTAAATACATACATATCTAACTTCTAACTTCAATTTTTACATAGCATGCCACCTTAACTGTGTATGAAAATGTGCATTTCACCTTTTAGAAGTTAACACGGTAGTAATTTTTGATGTGATTTGAAAGATTTTGGTGTTATAAATGAAAAATGTAATGTTTCAGTCTTAGATATGTAAATATGTAGGAATTTGGTGGTATGTAAATGCCTCAACTTTTACTGAAGGACAAGTCTAAACTTTCTAAAAGCCTCTCTGTACGCCATTGGTAACTGTCTAGTCCTAAAATTTATTGATGGTCAATTTTACATTTACTATTATTAATTTTTTTGGCATGCGTCATAGGAACTAAAAAACTTCATTTACTTAACCAGTTAGCCGCAGCAAATTAAAAGGCTTAAAGTAGATGCTGTAGTCTTTATTGTTTTCTGGCTTTCAATGTGGTAAAATCTTGGGTTGTTTATATCTGTGAAGATTTTTTTAGTTTTCTTATTTTCATGACATATCCCTGAATCGAACCCTACAAGGGAAGTTTGACCCTTATAGTACATTTTTGGCGTTGGCAACGGCACTTTTGTTTGCAGGATGCTGCTCTGATGGATCTTTCAGGATTTTATGAAGTTGTGAATTCTATCGACCAGCACGATGACATGAGACTGGATATAGATGACATGTCTTATGAGGTACTAGAAATAGTTAAAAATAAAAATCTACTTGAATTATCTATCCTTGAGCTCACCATTTTTTTTTTTTGCAATTTCATTTGACTTATTGTGGTGATTTGGAAGGCAGTACTTAGTTGACAATAATTTGTTCAGTCGTTGAGCTTTTAATTAGAATGTCTTTTACAACGTTTTTTTTTCAAATTTTTTCTCATCTTAACAGGAGCTTTTGGCTTTGGAGGAACAGATTGGAGTTGTTAAAACAGGGTTGTCAGAAGAGTTCATCATAAAACATCTAAAGATGAGGACTCATGTGCATCAAGAAACAGCCTTGTCATTAGAGCCATCGATGCCATTATCCAAGGAAAATGAAACATGCAGTATATGCCAGGTAATTAACTCATTGGAATTTGGGCTCATTTTAACCATGTTAAATTTAAAATAATGATAGAATGTCAAAACAGTCCTGACTATTTACATGGTTTCATTTTAGTCCCATAACCTATAAAAACGCTAAATTAGTCTCTAAATTCTTTAAATTGAGGCTTAAATATCCTCCGTGGGAACTAATTCAACTCATATTTAAAAAGTATGGGGACTAAATTGATATTTTTAAGGACTCTTGAGCCTAAAACAACATTATGAAAAGAGTTAGAGAACTATTTTTACACTTTTCTCAATGATGATATTATGAAACCAACTTGCATATTCTATTGGAGTGATCCGGAGAGTTTCTATCGCTACTTTTATTAAAGCTATTGATATTCTAATATGTATTGCAGGTAGAATATGAGGATGACGAGATCATAGGAAGTCTCGACTGCGGTCACACCTATCACGCCGACTGCATTAAGCAATGGTTGTTGATAAAGAACTTGTGCCCTATCTGCAAAACTTCAGCATTAGATAGCAAGGATAGGAGAGAGAGCTGAAATGAGGCTTGCTTAGAGTATTACTTGTCTGTTTGTTTAATATACTCAATTGAATTTAATCTTGTATATATCGATGATACGCTTAAACTATACATTTCACATACATTCATTAATGACTTGAATGTCCGAAACACTTCACTTTGTACATAAACAAAACGATTCATTTCCTCTCATGAGTTCTTGAAATTTTTTTTTTATTCACTTGTGGATGTGGAGAATGCATGCAGATTTATTACTATATTTTGTGAAAAGCAGCTCTATTATATTGATTTGTATCGAGTAGTATAGGCTACGGTTAGATCAATAACCTTCTGTTTATGGATGAGAGCTAACATTGATGTTATGGGATGGATTATTTGATAAAATTAAGAGAAAATCAGTTATATAGTTGTTCATTGGTTAGGAACTTTGCGTAAATTTTGAGTATATGGTGAGCGTTTTTGGCGAGTTTTTCAGGCATGACGTGGTGGATGATCTAAAGAGATTTTGCTCTAGGTGATTTGAGGCCATTGAAGCTTGGCGAGTGTTATGCCGGCTTATGACCTATGTGATTTGTTGAATTAGATTCAGGCACTTCAGTAGCTCTAGTTGAATGGGCGTATGCCGGATCTCTAAATTTGATGTCCTTTTTGGAAGTCGAGCATTGGAAAATGAATCCTAAAGAAAAAATCTGTCACTATTTTAAATATATATGCTTTGGGGTTTGCTGTCTATTTTTTCTTTATTTTACTCTATAAATCATTTGATCCCTTTTTCTTCTTGCAAGTTGAAGATTAATTGCTTTTTAAATCTTTTTATGGCTTAAAGAAGTTGGGAGAAGTGCTATAATTGCATTGTTGTATACTTAAACTTTTAGTGGCAGGGTTTACAAATGGTTTTGCTTTGGAGACGATGACCCGAAAATGTAGGATGCCATGAAGGCAGTGGTCAAAAAAATGAGTGTGTTGTGGAGGCATGTCGGCACTATTTTTGGTGTGGAGTTTGCC